TGGATTTCAAAATTTTTGCACCAAAATCAATGTATCTTTTAATTCCACTTCTCCACAAATGTTCTGAAGTCCCTTAGTATTAATAAAACAATTTGCAGAGTCAAAGCATTCTGTATCAGAATAGCAATGGCATTTTTTTTTTTTGCAAAATAACTATCCTAAAATTAGTATGTGATCTGAAGGGATCTTGAAGAGCAAATCAATCTTGCAAAATAACATTAAAGGGCTCACACTTCCCTATTTCAAAACTGACTATAAAACTACATGAATCAAAATGATATACTGCTGCTATAAGGAAATCCCCAGCCTTTGGCAATCACAAAAGTCTTTTTTCTGTCTCTGTGGTTTTGCCCATTATAGGTATTTCATGTTAGTGGGATAATACAAAATGCAAATTTTGTGGTGGTTTATTTCATTTTGCTTAATGTTTTCAAGGTCCATCAATGTTGCTTCATGTATCAGTAAATCTACCCTTTTATGGCTGAATAATATTCCATGTATGTATATACCACATTCTCCTTATCCATTCATCCGTTGAAGGACATTTGGATTGTTTTCATCTGTTGATTATTGCAAATAATGCTGGTATGAGCATTTCTGTACAAGTCTTTTGTTTTAGTGTTTTAAATTTTTTCAGTACATATCCAGGAGTGGAATTGCTGAATCATATGTTCATTCTATGTTTTCCTTATTAAGGAACCACCAAAATGTTTTCCACAGTGGCTGTCCCATTTCACATTTACATCATCAATGTGGGTTCCAATTTCTTTACATCTTACTAACACTTGCTATTTTCCCACTTTGTTTTCTTTTTTAAAAATTATAACTGTCCTAGTGGATGTGAAATGGTATTTCATTGTGGTTTTGACTTGCATTTCCATAATGATTAATTAATGATGTTGATTATTTTTTTTCATGAGCTTGTTGCCATTTATACATCTTCTTTGGAAAAGTTCCTATGCCTATTTTAAAATTTGATTCTTTTTATTGTTGATTTGTAAGAGTACTTTTTATATCCTGAATACTAGACTCCAGTTCACTGAAGGCTTTTATGCTCTGAATTGTATCTATCCCACCAAAATGCATATGTTGAAGTCCTAACACCCCTGTTCCTAGAATGTGACCTTATTTGGAGATAGGATCTTTAAAGAGGTAATTAAGCTAGAATGAGTTCCTTATGGTGGCCCTTATTCCTGTAAGACTGATGTCCTTATTAGAAGAAGAGATTAGGACACAGACACAGGGACGAATAAGCACTGGTAGGACATAATGAAGACCAATAGTCATTTATATGCTAAGGAGAGAGGCCTCAGAAGAAAACAACCCTGCCAACACCTTGATCTTTGACTTTCAACCTCTAGAATTGTGAGATAATACATTTCTATCATTTAAGCCAAGTGTGTGTCTGCGTGTATGTGTGTGTATTTAGAGCATGTTAACAGCAACATCATAAAAGTTGGGATGGGGTTAAATAGAATAAGAGGATCTAAAATTCTTATATTATCCAGGACATAAAATATTAACATTAGTCATTGATAGTTTGATGCATGCTATAATTTCTAGGAAAAAAAGGTATGTAGTAGAATATAAAATAGGGTATAGGACTTCCAAAATGGTAGAAAAATAAATATCAAAGGACAAAATATAAATCTCAATGAAAACAAACAGAGATACAGAAACATAAAATAGGCAGGGGAAAAAGATAAGATGGTAGATTTTACTCCAAATGCAACAGTAATTATATGTAACGTGAAAAAATGAAATATTCCAGTTAAAAGACAAAGATTGTCAGATTGATAAAAACACAAGAGCAAATTCAATGTTTTACAAAAGAAATATTTAAAATATTAGATACAGAAAAGTAGCAAGTAAATAATGAAAAAAGATTATACAATATTATCTAAAAGATTTCTGTTGTCTTATTGATATCAGACAAATGATTTAAGGCAAGAGAATATTATTGGAGATTAAGAATATGACCTCAAGGATAGGCATTTGTGCAGTAGTTAAGACATAGTTGGGACATCTGAATCCCATATTGGAGTGCCTGGTTCAAGTCCCAGCTCTGGTTTCAATTCAGCTTCCTGCTAATGTGTGCCCTGGTAGTCAGCAGGTGATAGCTCAAATAGTTGAGTGTCTGCCACCCATGTGGGAAACCCAGATGGAGTTCCAGACTCCTAGCTTTGGCCTGGTCCAACCCTGGCTGTTGTGGGCATTTGGGGAGTGAATTAATAGGTGGAAGATCCCTCTCTGACCGTCTATCTCTGTGTCTCTTTGCTTTTCAAATAAAATGAAAATAAATAAATAAAAAAAATCACTAAGGAGAACATGTGTTTAAGATAAAAGAACACAACTTCATAATGTCAAAAATACAGCAATTTCATTTGTATAACCTAATTATATGGCCTCAAAATTATTTAAAGCAAAAACTGACAGAAATAAAAGAAATGAGGAAAGGTTATTGCAGGAACTGGTTATGATAAAACAGAGGTAAAATTACTTCTGAACAGAATGTCTCCTCCAGTGATGATGCACTAATGTGATATCTGAATTGGCTTCTGGAAAACTGAAAGGAAAGGTGTTTAAAGTCCATAGGACTAGAAATGATGAACAAAAGAAAAAAGCTAGTAGTGGAAATTAAGTATCCTATAAAAACAATATCACAAGACTAAACCTCTTATGATCCCGTCTATTAAATAAATGCGGTTCACTTTATCAACAGTAGATGGTGCTCCTGAACCAAGAAACCTAGCTAGTTGCCCAAACCCCTCACTTCTGCGGACATAAAATCACCTCTTACATGCTAGAACCAGAAAATATAACAATTTTCTAAGTGAACAGAAAATGATATATGAAGTAGGTGGTATCTTTCTTGGTTTTCCACTACCTCTTTCCTTGAAAACCACATGGACTTTGGGCAGAGAGTTATGATTTATTTTGACCAATAGAATTTAAGTGGATATGACACACTCCACTTCCAAACACATTTTAAATGTGATTGGGTGTTTGATTCAGTCTCTTATGTTTTGGCCCCGGGATTCAGTTTGAACCTCAAAACTTAGATAGAATGAATTTCTTTTATTTTTAAGCCACTGAGTAATTTGTTATGACAGCCCTTGAAAACTAATACAAGCAAGGAATATTAGAGTTGAATTATCAGTATCAGTAAGAACTCAGGAATTAAAAATATATTTCCTGGGGCCGGTGCAGCGGGTTAAAGCCCTCGCCTGAAGCACAGGCATCCCATATGGGTGCCAGTTCTTGTCTGGCTGCTCCTCTTCTGATCCAGCTCTCTGCTGTGGCCTGGGAAGGCAGTGGAGGATGGCCCAAGTCCTTGGGCCCCTGCACCCGTGTAGGAGACCTGGAAGTAGCCTTTGGCTCCTGGCTTTGGATTGGTGCAGCTCCAGCCATTGTGGCCATCTGGGGAGTGAACCAGCAGATGGAAGACTTCTCTCTCTGTCTCTACCTCTCTCTGTGACCCTGTCTTTCAAATAAATAAAAAATAAATCTTTTAAAAAAAGAGTTGTTAACTCTTGAAAAAAATATATTTTCTAGTACTGTCCACTGAGAACGCCTAGAAGTAATGACAAAGTGACAATGAGCACACTAAGTGCCTAGATGTTGGTCTTTAAGTATCATTTCCAAGTAAATGGGATCTAGGTTCTTTAGAGAAACAACTGATTTCATGGATGGAGCAAGGACAGTACCTGGTGACCTTGGAATACCTTGATGTACCAGAATACAAGGAAACACTCAAAGATGAATGAAGTCTTGTGAAAAGAACATAACAGCTGGCTGGAAGGCCTTACTGTTGACCAAATTTGAGACAATATGAACATCACAGATAATAGTTATAATAATATGCTATAAGGGCCGGCACTGAAGTGTAATGGGGAAAACCACTGCCTGTAGTGCCGGCATCCCATATGGGCACCAGTTAGAGACCCGGCTGCTCCACTTCCAATCCAGCTCCTTGCTATAGACTGGGAAAGCAGAAGATGGCCTAAGTCCTTGGGCCCCTGTACACGCTAGTGGAGACCTGGAAGAAGCTCTTGGCTCCTGGCTCCTGACTTCAGATTGTCCCAACTCTGGCCATTGCAGCCAGTTATGGAGTGAACCAGCAGATGGAAGACCTCTCTCTCTCTGCCTCTGCCTCTCTGTAACTCTGCCTTTCAAATAAATAAATAAATCTTTAAAAATATGCTGTAATGCATATAATACAGAATTCAAGAGTCCATAATCATAGTGAACAAAATAAAGGAAAAGGGAGAGTTTTTCTTCACAGAAGAATCCCAGCTAATAAATCACAAAAATAGAAAATCAATTTTCAACCATCAATATATTATTGAATACTTTTAAGGAATTTCAATGGATACTAAAATCATTGAAGGAAAGCTTACTGGGGAACAGAACATTTACATGGTTTTGCCCCATGGATATTTTTTAGAAAAGGTAAACGGCTGGGCCTGCAGTGCCAGCACCCTGGGTTCTAGTCCTGGTTGGGGCGCTGGATTCTGTCCCGGTTGCTTCTCTTCCAGTCCAGCTCTCTGCTGTGGCCCGGGAGTGCAGTGGAGGATGACCCAAGTTCTTGGGCCCTGCACCCGCATGGGATACCAGGAGGAAGCACCTGGCTCCTGCCTTCGGATCAGCACAGCCCGCCGACCGTAGCAGCCATTGGAGGGTGAACCAATGGAAAGGAAGACCTTCTCTCTGTCTCTCTCTCTCACTGTCTTACTCTGCCTGTCAAAAAAAAAAAAAAAACATAGTATTTATAATTCTAGAGTCTTTCAGTGATTTCCCAGGGTTCAGCTGTGGTGGTGAGAAAAGAGCCTGTGCTTTCTGGTTGGCATTGTGATAGATGTCAAGGAAAGTGAGGGCCATGTTGAGGAAGGAGCTATGGATCACTGACAGAGCAAGATTTCAGGGACCTAGTGGGGTAGGGAGGATGGTTTGATAGTATATTTCCTATCAGACAACTGATGCTATCTTATTTCTTTCAGGTTTTTAAAGGAAATCAAGACTCCTTCACACCTGTATTGAACTCTCTAGACCCACCACTGTTGACTCGTTATCTCAGAATTCACCCCAAGAGCTGGGTCCACCAGATTGCCCTGAGGCTGGAGGTTCTGGGCTGTGAAGCACAGCAGCTCTACTGAGTCAGCTAGCCCCTTTGCTCCTCAGATCCAGGTTATTCCCTAACTCTAGGCCATTGTCTCTCTCTGACTTGCCTTCTACCTTTGTGCCTTGCCTCCAGGTTACTTATCTTCCCCCACTGTCCATGGCATCATCATTTCTCCATGTCTAAACTATACAACCCTAGCAGACACTGGTGTGAAGCCTCCCAAATAAGTTTCCTGAGAGTGTTGCCTGTAACTGAACTCTTGTGCATTTGCTGCAGATTCCTCCAATGCAACTAGGCAAAAAGAAGTAAGGAGAAACACACTCAGGGTTAAGTCTCTCACAGTGCCACCACTTCCTCTGTTGTAGAAAAGTTATGTATTGAAAGTCAGCAGAAGATAGGCATAATGTAAGTAAGCATTTTAGATTAAGCATCACATATTTTAAAACTATTGATTTATTTTTCATTTTATTTGCAAGACAGAGAGAAAGAAAGACACACAGAGATTTTCCATCTGCTGGTTCATTCCCCAAGGGCCCACCACAGCCAGGCTGGTCCAGGCTGAAGCCAGGAGCCTAGAACTCAGTCAAGATCTCCCCCAGGAGTGGCAGGTGCACAAGTACTTGAGCTATCACCTGCTGCCTCCTAGGATCTACATTGCAGGAAACTGGAGTTACAAGCCGAAGTCAGGTTTTGAACCCAGGCATTGTGCTTTGGGACACAGATGTCCCAGGTGGCATCTTAGCTGTAACACCCAACTTCATACACTTAACATAAAACTCTCACACATTTATGGTTCTGGTCAAGCATGGATAGAAACATGTTTTGGAATCATATCAGCATAGCCTTGAAATCAAATGCCAGTCATTTTGACAGTCTGCAAAATAGAGAAAATACAAGAATTCCATTAAAGTGTTATTGACTCAATCCCAGAATTCTGTGCAGATAAATCCATTTTATCCTAATTCTAACCAACAAAAAAAATGGGATGGTGGGGATACAGAATTATCAGGAAACTGGAAATAGAATAACAATATCCTCCTGAAACTTTTGATGTTCAAGAAAGGTAATGATTATAATAGGCTTATAAATGGTATATTTTTAATATGCTTCACTGAAAATGAGAGAAATTCACAGCTGTCTGTGGTAGGAGACAATAAACTTGATAACTGTCACAATGTACTCATTGTACTCTCTCCTTCACCTAACTTCCTGCTGAAAGAATACAAGAAGAATGTAACAGAGAAATTGTATACCATGACCAGAAAGTACAGTTCTACTTATTTAGCTGAACTATATAACCCCCACTTTGCCCCACTCCCATATGTGGTTGTGTAGGGTTTACTTATTCCATCTACCTGCCCCTTCACTAGAACTATGCAAAGGATCACTTCCTGCTAGTATAGAGCTCTAGAGGTGGCTAGAGGCAAGCACAAGCCATGGGACAGTTTCAGGAAGCATCTAGAATTTACAACTGAGGGCAGTTTGAAAACAGAGGTTCCTAGAATAAGAGAAAATTATATCCCAAAGCAAGAATATGGCTGCTTTTCTCCAATTCTAGAGCATTTTCTAATAATCCTTCTTTATTGTGTTCTGACCTCTTTGGGGATGATCATAGTATACTCAACTGATAAAGGAGCAAGTGGTTTGTAGACCTGTAGAGCTCTTAAGGTTAGCAGTTAACTCACAGAAACCAATAAGTAGTGTTCTTTTATAGCTTGGGAGAGGAATTAAGCCAAAAAGCGATAGGGTTTTCATTCTTATAAAAGGTTAACCACTCTTACGTCTAAGTTAATAATCTTATTTTGGCTTTCTTTCCCCTATCTATATTTCCCCAATGCTCTTGGAACCAACTATTTTGTCTTCCTGCTACTTTCCTCAGTAATGAATTAAATAAAATATTGATGCATAAAGACAAATGCCTTTAAGAATGGTGTTTTTATACTGTAAATTAAAATATGGGCATATTTTTAAATGAATAGGGAACTGAATAGCAGATTAAGTAAAAACTTATAGGATTTATGAGCCATTCAATAAAATGTTTTAAAAAAGAAGAAATGGACTCTCAATCTCAGAGAAGAGCATATAGTAAACAGGGACTGAGGGAAGAGTGGAGAATTACTCTTCAAGTATGCAAGATAAGTAACTTCTACAGATCTACTGTATAATAACATAGTGCCTAGAGGTAAAAATGCTGCATCATTCTCATCAAAATTCGTTAAGATGGTAAATTTCATGCTAAGTGTTCTTACCACAGTTTTTTTTTTTTTAATGCAAAATGCAGGACAGGTGTGGTAAAATAAAACAATAAGAGAAAATAACTTGAGATAATAACAGAATTAAATGTTAGATCAAGCAGTGCATTGCCTAGGGCCCATTTAAATACCTGGAATAGTGTGGAAGAATGAGATTATACATTGTTTACTAGCATAAACTTAGTGACGTATGAAAACACATACCATTGCTAACTCCAAAAAAAAGTACACGATTATATAATACTAGTTAATTATGGATCATTGAAACCATAAGAAGTTAATTATCAGAATATTGGTAAGCAAATTCACTAAGACAAACATAGTTTGTAACTTTAAGTGATTAACTATAATTTTCTGTCACAAACATTTTTTAAAATTTTTATTTATTTATTTATTTGAGAGTCAGAGTTACAGACAGAGAGAGGTCTTCCATCCTCTGGTTCACTCTCCAGATGGCTGCAATGGCTAGAGCTGGGCCAATCTGAAGCCAGGAGCCATGAGCTTCTTCCAGGTCTCCCACATAGGTGCAGGGGCCCAAGCACTTGGGCCATCTTTTACTGCTTTCCCAGGCCATAACAGAGAGCTGGATTGGAAGAGGAGCAGCCAGGATTCAAACTGGCACCCATACAGGGTGCGGGTACAACAGGTGGAAGCTTAGCTTACTACTCCACAGCACAGGCCCCTGTCACAAACATTTTTCAAACGTAATTTACAAATGGATCTACCATATGACTCAGCTATCCCATTACCAGGAAGTGAAAACAGCATATGAAAGAGATACCTGAACTCCCATGTTTAGTGCAGCTTAATTCACAATGGCAAAGGTGTAGAATCAACCTAGATGTCCATTGACTGATAACTGGATAAAGAAGATATGGTACATGTACACACTGGAATATTACTCAGCTATAAAAAAGAATGAAATCCTCACTTTTGCAATAAAATGGATGCAACTGGAGATCATTATGCTGAATAAAATAAGCCAGACCCAGAAAGACAAATATCTCATGTCTTCTTCTCTCATGTGTAGAAGTTAATATATAGGGAGTATAAAATTATGTTGATGTCATATTATTTGGTATATAGATAGTTATAAATAATGTCTTCACTAAATTATACGACATACATGATAATACACCTTTCTTTCCTCACTCTATACTCATTATCATGAATCCCACAACACTTGATGTTAATATCCCTGTTTTCAAGAAAAACATAGGATATGTGAGTATGTATATAATGTCTACATATGAAATGAAGATGGTAAAATGTTAAAAATAGTTAAATCTAGTGGCAGGAGTTATGGTGCAGTGGTTTAAGCTAACATATGTAATGCCTACATCCCATACGAGTGTTGGTTCCATACCCAGTTGCTTCACTTCCAATCCAACTCTCTTCTAATGTTCCTGGGAAAGCACTGGAAGATGGTCCAAGTACTTGGACCCCTGCCACCCATATGGGACACCTGGAGGAGGTTCCAGGCTCCTGTCTTCAGCCTGGCCCACCCCTGGTTGTTGTTGCAGTCATTTGGAGAGTGAAGCAGACAATGGAAAATCTCTCTCTCTCTCTCTCTCTCTCTCTCCCTCCCTCCCTCCCTCTCTCCCTCCCTCCCTCACTTCCTCCCTTTCATGCTCTTTGTAACTCTGCCTTTCAAATAAATAAATAAATGTTTTTAAAAATAGTTAAATATTAAAATTTAAAAATAAATTTAAAAAACTAAAAAGCAAATCTCAAGATTACAAATCAACTGTCTTTGGAAGACATGTATTAAAACATTAAATGTATTAAAACAAGTCTATGAGTGTTAACAGAAATGCTCTGTATCAGATAGGAATAACAATTTATAGTAAATTGGCAACTATATTTGACAATAGCCTATTATAAATTTGAGAACAACAAGAAGAGAGGAGCTCAAAGAAAGGATGAGATAGAAATTCTACTTACCCTAATTTAATTTGTATGTATTCTATACATGTATTAAAATGTTACACTGTATCCCATAAATATTGTAACCACTATGTATTACTTAAAATTTTTAAAGTTTTATGTCCTTTTATATGCTATCTGGAACCTCAATTTTATGATGACAGGATAGACTAAGGACAGATTTGACTTTCACTGTAATGTTTTCTAAGCCTCTTCTTTGACTATTTAATCACAGGGTGACAATAAACATACACTTCCAGAAACAAGTGTCAACAGCTTCTTTTTCTCAAAGGTTCTCTTTAAGTGCCATTGAAACTTGTGGGTTATAATTTCATTTATATTGCTAACCAAGACTGACTCTTTCAGTCTCATTGCTACTCTAGTTCTACAAACAAGGAAAATTTTTTCAGGCATCTGTCAGACAAATACATTACCTTAAAAGAAGAAATTAGAATTAAAGTGGTTACCTATGGCAGTCACCTGCTCTATGTGTAGCCAGCATTCATTCCCTTGGGAAATTGGCCCTATCACACACCATAGCATTCCTAGCTGGTGTATGTTTTGTGAACCAAGATTTCTCTTTCTTTGTAAACTAGTTGAGTTTCTGTTACTCACAACCAAAAGACTACTTTCTAAGTTTGATGGTTCTCAATTACAATTTTCATCTCAACAAGACAATGAAAAGGATTTGTGGAAAATATTTCCTCAATGTAACCCAAGATTTTTTTTCCATCCAAAGTACATGTATTTCCTAGAATATATATACACACACATATTTTATTTCAACATTTACCCTATGCATAAGATCTATATATGCCTACTGTTCATTTGTCCTAAATGTTTCATGTATCATATTAATCATTGTCTCTCCTAGGCCTGCAGTGTTCCCACTCAGTGTTTGACGTGACTAGTTATCCCAGTCACCAAATGTTATCCGGAAATTCAAGTGTTATCCTTGCTGCCTCTCTCCCCCTCACTACATCTATTCCTATAACTCAATAGCACAATCCATTTAACTCCTAAATATCTCTGAATTCGCATCAAGCTTCATCACTGATTACTACTCCAGCTCCCACTTTGATGTAGGGGTAGCTATAATTGCCTTGGTTTATCATGCTCCCTCTTGCTGATCGTGGACATTTGGGGAGTGAACCAGTTTAATGAGTTTCTCTCCCCCCCCCCCCCCCCGCCAGCAACTGGAGTTGTACTATAGAATTCTCAAAATAGTCAGGAATTGGTGGCTTTGGATAATCCTGGAAATCAAGGTGAAGGTGATAAACTAAGGAAAACTATTGAAAAACTATTAGACAATTAGAAATAGTTTAATCTGGGCTGATGCTGTGGCATAGTGGATAAAGCCACCACCTGCAGTGCTGGCATCCCATATGGGTGCCAGTTCAAGACCTGGCTGCTCCACTTCCAATCCAGCTCTCTGCTATGGCCTGGGAAAGCAGTAGAAGATGGCCCAGGTCCTTGAGTCTCTGCACCCGTGTGGGAGACCTGGAAGAAGCTCCTGGCCATTGTGGCCATCTGGGGAGTGAACCAGCAGATGAAAGACCTCTCTCTCTCTCTCTCTCTCTCTCTCTCTCTCTCCCTCCCTCCCTCTCCTTCTCTCTGTGTGTAACTCTGACTTTCAAATAAATTAATAAATCTTTTTAAAAAAAGTAATAGTTTAATTTGCAATTCTCTACTCTGCTTCACACTAGCAGAAGCCTGAAGTTGAGAGAGACACCAGGCATGGTAATGGGCAAAGTCTATCTATCTTACCGAAAACAGCAGGATCAAGAGATTGGATTGTCTTGTGACTCATAGCACTCTTCCTCTTTCTCACCTCACATATAGCAAGAAGTTAACATGCTGGCAAGAATAATTGATGGTGATATTCATGTAGAGTTGGGAATGCTGCTCTATGGTAGAGGTGGCAAGGAATATGCTTGGCACTTAGGTGATCCACGGGGGGCCTAAGCCTACTAACTTTCCTGTTGTAACTTTCCCCAGAGGTTGTGACCAACCAGAAATCTGAAGAAACCTGGCAGAATGTAGTGAACCTAATGTGACACATAAGTGGTTTTGAGCAAGAAGTAGACTACAGTAAGTGCTTTAATTGTGCCACACAGATCTCTTAGAGTTCCTTTTACCAGTTTAGTGTTTGCACCCATCTCTCAACTGCTTTGGCCAATGGAATGGCTCCTGATTACAATATTCTTCAGAGGACAGTCCTTAGGCATATAAGCTTCCTCACTCAGAAATATCGGAGGGTTACTCACCCTGACACAGGCGTGGCAGACCATGGCCAAGAAATGACAGGCTAGGATACAAAGGCTGAATCCCCTAAGGTGCAAAATATGCTCCTGCTAGCACACCCTGTAAGTTCTTTCCTTTTCCTTATGCTGCTTCTCTCACTCCCTTAGACTTCTTCTGAGTGCATTCCTTCAATAAATTATATCCACAGGAATCTTTATCCAGAATCTGCCTCTAGGAAACCCAAACTTAAAATTCATTGGAATTTTATGAAATTCATTGGTTAGTTAGTATATGCAATGCTGCAATCTTTACAATATGGATTCATTTGATTAAAAACTGATGTGGTGGGACCGGAGCTGTGGCATAGTGGGTAAAGCCACCGCCTGCAGTTCCATGATTCCATAAAGCCTTCGGTTTGAGTCCCGGCTGCTCTACTTCTGATCCAGCTTTCTGCTATGGCCTGGGAAAGCAGTAGAAGATGGCCCAAGTCCTTGGGCCCCTTCACCCACGTAGGAGACCCAGAAGAAGCTCCTGGCTCCTGCCTTCAGATCAGCACAGCTCTGGCCATTGTGGTCAGTTGGGGAGTTAACCAGAAGATGGAAGACATCTCTCCTCTCTCTCTCTCTCTCTCTCTCTGCTCTTCTCTTTCTCTCTGTGTGTAACTCTTTCAAATAAATAATAAAATCTTTTTTTAAAAAAACTTATGTAGTAGGCAGTTTCTAAGGTGAACTCATTGATCCCTATCTTCTGGTATTCATGTTCTTGTATCGTTTCTATCTTGTTACTGTAGTATGGACCTAGGAATGTATCTCTAACCAATGGAATATGACAAAACTGATGGGTGTCCCTCTCAAATTGGGTTACAAAAAGGCCATGACTTCCTTTTTGATCACCCTCTTATTCTGTCTCATGTTAGTGTGCATCCAATTGAATAGTCAATCATTCCATCATGTTAAATAATCTTTTCTTGCTCTGTGGATATGAAATACTACATTTGTCATTATTTCAGTGTGTAAAACAATACAGTAGCAGACATCATGTAGAAAATAAAATATCTTAGAATTCTTCAAGCCTAAGAGGACACAACTACTATGAAGATGGATTTTGATATCAATTCAGATGTTTATGCATGGACAGAAGATGTCTGAGTGCTCAGTCGTCAAATAGAGATACTGGGAAGAGTCAAATGCAATAGGTGATATCATAAGGAGTGGTGTTCTATTTGGAACTCTGGAGACTGAAGGGGAAGAAATAGGTCAGCTTCTTCTGAAAACTGCTCTATTCTCAATATTCATGTCTAATTTACTGGGTTATTTGGATACCCAGTACTAAGTCAGTTTTCAGGTAAGTGGCTTTCTACCAGACAAAGACTTTTTTTCAGCCCACCAAACCATAGGTAAGTGTGTACTATAAATATATTAAATAATAGCCCAAACACAATGGCTTAAATAGGGATTTATTTTCTTCATAGCAAGCAGGCTAGAGGTAAGCAGATACAGGTGTCATTTTATTGGCTTGAAATTGTTTGTCAGAATATATGTCATTTCTTTGGACTTTTTCTCATGGCCATTGCCTCATTGTCACAAGATGACCCTAGATACTTCAAACAACACTCCTCAAACAATGTTGAGTGTAGAGCCCAAAGGGCAAATAATATCTCTTTCATCAAGGCAGAAAAAAGCCTTCCCCAAAGTATCCATCACATTCCATTATGTTTCATTGTCCAAAACTATGTCACATAAGCATGCCTAGATGCAAGGACGGCTGGGAAAGCGAGATTCTTATAAATAAATAAGAGGTGGGAAAGACTGTTGAGTCATACAATGAACAACATCTGCCAAAATTCACCATCCATTCATTCAAAAACATCTCACTGAATACTTTAGTACCCTATGAGCAGTGAATAAAACCAATAAAAAGTCCTGAACTCATGGAGCATATATTATAGTCAGGAAAAACATGTAACAAAATAAACAAGTAAAATATATATCACACTAGGTTTTGATGAGGTTTATGGAGAAAAATCAAATAGGTAAGATGATTAGCATGGTTTTTGGAGTGTGATAGAATTTTAATAAAAGTGATCACAAGAGAATCTTCATTGAGAATTTATTTCAGCATCTGAAGAAGGTGAGGGAAGAGATCCTGAGACTATATTGGAGGAAATGAAGCTGAGTTGGTGTGAGCATAAGAAAACTAGTAGGATATGAGTTAGGAGAAGTAACTAGCACAAAATATGACCTGCAAGTCAACAAGATTTCTTTGTCTGCTCATTGAAGGCAAAAATAAAAGCAGGGAGACAGAGATGATGATGGGCAGCACCAGAGGTAGTATGACATGGCAAGATTCTAGATACATCTGTAAATAAAACACACCAGATTTTTTTCTAATGAATAAGGTGTAGGAGTCAAAGTCAAAGATGGTGTCACAGGTTTTGGCCTGAACAGCTGAAAGAGTTTCTAGTAATTGAGTTGGAGAAAAAGTGTAGCAGGGAATGTCAGATAATGATTTGCTTTGATTTGCCTTTTGTGTTTGTGATAAACGAGGAGTTTTTAGCAAAGAAAATTAAAGCACCATCTTCTAGTCTTTCCTACCAAGTTTCTGTGGACAGAGCTAAGGACAAAGAAATCTCTTCTGGGCAGAGCCAACCACAGCGAGGACGGGAGTCCATGGAACCTCAGAAGCTGCTGAGCGTTGGATTTCTGCTGTGCTCTCTGACTTACCTCTTGTTGGAGACGGCGGCACCCCCTAGGTCACCTTCATCTGCCTTTGGAATACAAGAAAAAACGAGATGGAAAGCAGGGTCAAAGCCACGCCCAAGGGGTATGTTTGCTTTTAGAATGAATGCTCCTCTCTTTGTAAGAAATAAGATTCCTGTCTCAGGTCAGGAAAAAGTGATTTCATGTTGAAAAATAACATTCACAGGAAAGCAAACTATGAAGGTACCTCCAAAAGTTCATGGAGAATCCATATTATGAATGGAGTTTTAAAAAATTCTTGCACCAAAATAAATTTATATTTCACTTCTCTTTTCCATGAACTTTTTGAAGTATCTTGGTATTCTGGTTTGTTTCAGTTTGGTTCAACAAGCTACTCTATGTAGCAAGCCCTTTGCTAAAGTACATGGATTAGGAGTTAAGCAGCCTCATTATCAAGTAGCTCACAGATGGACAAAGCCGTATACCACCCTTCCATGGAACGTGAGAAATTCTCCCCAAAGACAAGTGAATAAATTTTTTAAATGTTTATTTATTTGAAAGGCAGACAGAGACAGAACGACAGCGAGATCTTCCTTCTGTTGATTCACTCCCCCAAATGCCTGCAAGAGCTAGGGCTGGGCCAGGATGAATCTGGGAGTCAAGAATTCAATTCAGGTGTTCCACATGAATGGCAGGGACCCAAGTGTCAGAGCCACCACTCCTGCCTCCTATGATCTGCATTAGCAGGAAGCTAGAATCAGGAGCTGGAGCTAGGTATCAAATCTAGGCACTCCAAAGTGGAACACGACCATCTTAACCAGTGCATGGAAGCGTATAATGAAAGTTGCTTTAGGGGAGGGGTCATGGAAAACTTGACAGAGGAGATAAAAATCTAAAATTAACCTGATATTCTACTGATCCATATCTCAGGGGTTCTCATTGCACACACATGTGCACACATACACACACACTGTTCAGGTCCTTTCTGGTGCTCCAGCTGTGGAAATTGTCTTGCTGATGAAGCTCAACTCCCTCTTTTCTTGAGATCAACTCACAGTACTCTTTCCTCCTTCACTTAGTAAAGAATAGGGTCCTCTTTCACAATATATCCCATATACTCAAAATAAGCCATTAGATATGTGGGGCAGAGATTATTGTTCCTATTTAACTTGCAAGGATACAGTTGTAAACAAATGTACAACCTTTGAACATCTTAGAAGCAGCACAGCAAAGAATATTTGTCATATGCTTTGGGCAAGTGTAATAACATGATATCTGGGGCAACGATCTGAATTTGAACTTGGTTTAAATCCAAGCCCCATCCTTTACTAGACCTCTCCTCAATGAATATCTATGCTCTTATGCAGGAAAGCACAAGTCCTGGCTTAGCAACTTCAGGAATTATTTGTGGGATCTCATCAAGAACTTCATACCTCCAGCAGCCATTTTTGCTTTTCTTATCACCACAGCAATAATGGGGACCCTCTGCTGCCTCACGTAAGCTACTATGGGAAGAGGACACAGGGAACATGAAGAAGGGGGGCAGAGATACCAGTCTGCACATTCATAATTGAGAGAAAATTTAAGGAAGGTGATTCTGGGAACAAAACTCAAAAGCTGTGTGATCTCTTTTCAAATGATCCCCTCTCCCTTTATTCCCTCCAACCTGCCATATCTATTGCCAATGACTGACAGGTTATATTTAAACCAGTGTTTGCAGCTGATCATTTATTTTATTAATTGTATTAACTACTACTAATTTCCCTTCCCTTTGGCTCAGGAATTACAAATGATGTATCAACTGCATTCTCAATTGCCTGAAAATTTACCAAAATATTTATCTACAAAATCATATGAAGACAAGGAAATTTCTGTGGAAAATAAAACAAACTAAATTTTGTTAAACCAAATCTCAATCTCCCAAGAGATGATTACTTGCCTGTCTCTGTGCTGGTTACTAGAGAGAGAAATAAGACAATTACTCGCAAGTCGTTGGGTCAAGTCCAAGTGAGATGAGGTCAGGGAATTGTTGACCAGTTTGCAAAAATATATAAAAGAGAATAGAGAGGGCTGGCTCTGTGGTGTAGTGGATAAAGCCATTGACTGCAGTGCCAGCATCCCATATGGATGCCAGTTCAAGTCCTGGCTGCTCCACTTCCCATCCAGCTCTCTGCTATGGCCTGGGAAAGCAGAAAATGGCCCGAGTCCTTGGGCCCCTGCACCCACGTGGGAGACCCAGAGGAAGCTCCTGGCTTCTGGCTTCTGATCATCGCAGCTCTGGCCGTTGCAGCCATCTGGGAAGCAAACCAGCAAATGCAAGACCTCTCTCTCTCTCTATCTCTCTATCTCTCTATCTCTCCTCCCCCGCCCCCGCATCTCTGTAACCCTGCCTTTCAAATAAATAAGTAAATATTTTTAAAAGGGGAATAGAGAGTAGAAATGTTAGAGGGTGGACATTTGGTTCAGCAGTTAAGATGCACTTGGGACACCTGCTTATTATATCACAGTACCTAAGTGGGAGGGTTCCAGCTCCTAACTCCAGCTTCCTGCCAATTCAGATGGTGGGAAGCAGCAGTGATAGCTCAAATAGGAGAGTCCTCACCACAAATATAGAAAATCTTGATTGAGTTCCTGACTCCTGGCTTTGACCTGGCCCAGCCCTTGCTATTGTGGGCATTTGGGGAGTGAACCAGCAGATGGAAGATCTCTCTGCCTCTCTTTCCCTTCCATTCACTCTTGCTCTGCCTTTCAAATAAAATGAAAATAAAATTTTTAATATTTTATTTATTTGAAAGAGTTACACAGAGAGAGGAGTGGCAGAGAGAGAGAGAGAGAGAAGTCCTTCATCTACTGGTTCACTCCCCAATTGTCCGCCATGGCCAGAGCGACACCCATCTGAATCCAGGAGCCAGGAGTCTCCTCTGGGTCTCCCATATGGGCGCAGGAGCCCAAGGACTTGGGCCATCTTCTAACTGCTTTCCCAGGCCACAGCAGAGAGCTGGATCGGAAGTGGAGCAGCCAGGTCTCGAACCGGCACCCATATGGGATGCCAACGCTTCAGGGCAGGGCATTAACCCGCTGCGTCACAGCGCTGGCCCCATGAAAATAAATTTTTAAAGATTTATTTTATTTATTTGAAATGCAGAGTTAGAGAGAGGGAGAGGGAGAGAGCGAGAGTGGGCAGACACACAGAAAGAGAAGTCTTCCAACCAACTGGTTCACTCCCCAAATGGCTACAAAGGCCGGAGCTAGGCCAGGCCAAATTCAGGGGTTAGGAGCTTCTTCCAGGTCTCCCACGTGGGTGCAGGGGTCCAGGGACTTGGCCTTGCTCTGCTGCTTTCCCAGGCTCATTAATAGGGAGCTGAATGGGAAGTGGAGCAGCTGGGATTCGAAACAATGCCCATATAGGATGCCAGTGCTAAAGGCAGAGACTTAACCAGCTATGCCACAACACTGGCCCCTGAAAATAAACTTTTAAAATTTTAATAGAAATGTAGGTTTTTGCAGAATTCAAAAACCCAAAGTGCTTTTAACTTCCTGGTGGCTGAGGGCAAACATCAGATTATGGTTCCTGATAACCTCAAAATTATCACAAGATCAAGAACCAGGTCTAGGAAGCAACACAGAGCAGATTGGAGGTGAATAGATCAGAAGTCAGTTAAGCTTATTTTTAATGTATTTATTGAGAGAGACAGAGATACAGGGAAAGAGAGATAGATGAGAATGAGAGCCAGAGTGAGCGAGCAAGCGAGAGAGAACGAGAGAGAGAGAGAAAGAGAGAAAGAAGAGAAAGAAACAGTCATCCCCTGCTTCATTCCCAAAATGACCACAGCAGCCTTGACTGAGCCAGGCTGAAGCCAGGACCTAAAAACTGCATCCAGGTCTCTCACATGGGTGACAGGGACCCAGTCACTAGGGCAATCACTACTGCCTTATAGAGTTTGCATTTGCAGGAAGGTTGAGTCAAGAGCTAGAGACAGAGGGCCGGCGTTGTAGCACAGCAGGTTAAGTTGCCAACTGCTATTTGTGATGCCAGCAGCAGAAAATGGCCCAAGTCCTTGTGCCTCCATATCCACATGGGAGACCAGGATGAAGCTCGTTGCTCTTGGCTTTAGCCTAGCCCAGCCCTGGCTGTAGTGGCCATTTAAGTATTTAACCAGCAGATGAAAGATTCTCTCTCTCTCTCTCTCTCTGGCTTTCAAATAAATAAATAAATAAAGAGCTAGATCCAGGAATTGAACCCAGGCATTCCAATACGGGACATGAGTGTCTTAACCAGTACCTTAACCTCTAGGCCAAACGCTCACTCCCAGCTAAGGTCTTGAGAAACACTTAATGCCCCCATGAAATTATAGGCAGGAACTAAATTGTGAAGAATGCTGTATTTAAACTTCTGATTTTCCATGAGAAGAGCACCAATTTTGAAGGCCTTTAGGAGGGCACACTCACAAACCCTTGCTTCAGATGAAGCCCTAGAAAATAATGAACCAGAAGAGTCTCCTCAAGGGTGAACAATAGGCCAGGGAGCGCCTCTCATAAAGCAAGATCTGAGCCTAATCAATGTTTGCCCAGCAGGATTCCAGGATAATTACAGAGCAAGGACTGCTTTATCTCCCAGTCTTCCTCTATCAAATGGGAATATTTATTGTGGTTATCTTCTTCCTGCTAGATCATTGTTATGGGATGTGGAGATCAGGGGAAGATAACTTGCTTTAGTTCATAGGTCATTTAATCAAACAGAGCTGTGCCCAGACTTTAGAGAACCAAATATCATGCAGATACTCTGGACTTTGAGTGGGACACAGTGGTGAATGGGATTTTAGAAACACATAACCAGTCTAACAACTAGAGACTGTCAGCAGCACCCTCAGCAACTAGAGAAACAAGGGCTTTCTCCTGGAGGAATGTGGGTGGCTGTGTTCACAGAGGAACATTGCATTTCCCAACTTCCTTGTAGTTAGGCTGGGACCTTGGGACTGAGATTTATTCAGGGGAATAAGGACAAAAGTCAAACTGAGAGCTCCAGGCCTGACTATAAAATGTCCTGCACAACTGTCTAGACCATTTCTCATTCTTACATATACATGGCTTGGAATGAAAGACTATAAGATGGTAGAGCCATAGGGCTGGCATTGTGGCACAGCAGGTTAAGTCCCTGGCTTCCATTGTGGCTTTTTGAGGAGTGAACCAGTGGGTAGAATATCTCTCTCTGTCTCTCTTTCTGTCTCTGACACTCTGCCCTTCAAACAAATAAATATTAAAAAAAAAAAAGACAGTGGAGCCACATGACAGAAGGAGCTGGGATCCCAGAATCACCTGATAGAAGAGAACTTGACCTACATACAAATGAGGCAGGCATCAGAGATAAAAATTTTGTTGTGCTAACCAACTAAGATCTCAAGAATATTTGATATAGCAGCTGAGTATTACACTGACTAAAGAAGCTGGGACTGAAATCAAGACATATCTCATCCTACATCCTGTGGATTGCTGTTACACAGACTCTGGCTAGCAGGTCAGCTGCATCAGAAGAGTTTACAGTATTTGCTTGTCTTAAATGAAGATAGTTGCTGCTCTCAATTGGTTGGGAAGAAGTAAAGGCTAAAGAAGTCACTAATGATTCACACACTTCAACATCATGGAAATATTTTGTTAGTCTCAAATATGGCATTGGTGCTTTGCCATGGGAATCTCCTATAAATAACTGGTATAGGAGGAATTGATATTGTTGTGGGAAAATGGGGAAGATCTCAGTTCTCGTCTCACATGAAAGAAGGATTTCCACACGGATGGGGACAATGAGCAAAGCGAGATTTATTGAAAATGAGAAACATCCTGCCACAGCAGCTAAGAGGGAGGACTCCAAGGGAGAAGCTGCCAAAGAAGCTTTCTGATTGGCCCCTTTCTGAAAAATGAGTACAGATATAATCAATCAGTGAGGAGTAGAACAACAACCAATCAGAAGGCAGGGAATAATAGTCAATCAGGAGCTCAGAGTTCCAGCCACCACCACGGGCAGTCAGTTGCACAAGGAATCCAGCAGCTACTACAGGTTGAGAAGTGGGATACAGAGAAGGTGTCAGAGGCCCACAAGTGAAACAACCAGAGGCTGAAGCAGGCCAAAGAAGCAGTATGGGCCAAAATTGAACAGAGGAAGGAGTTCAAGGACAAAGAAGCTGTGGCACTAGGATCCCATGGCATTTACAGCAATGAAGTGGACAAGGAGACCCAGGAGAAGATGACCAACCCCCAGACATACTACCAGCAGAACCGGGATGAAGTCTTGGATAAGCTCTTGGCCTTTGTTGTGACATGTGGCCAGAAATCCATGAAAGCTACTGTGTCAATAGATAGAAGAAATCAGTACGTGTTCCATGGATGGGTGTTTTAGATGCACTCATGGAATATGAAGATTCAGCAAAGCTCAAGCTCTGCTGTCATGACAGTTAATTATAATAATTAAGTTATTTCTGTGTTTTACATAGGAGAGCCCTTAAGTTGTTAGTTTCTTTGTACAGACTTAGAACTTACCCAAAGAGTTCATTTTTTTCTTCTTATTTCTTAGGGAAATTTAATAAGTATATATTGTGTGTTTCCTTGTGCCTTTTAGACCAAGCAGCATATATGTCAATGCTCATTTTTTTCTTTCTTAGATCTAGTAAGGAAAAAAACACAATTCTTTGAAGAAATAAGGGGATTAAGCAGTTTTCCTCCCTATGGGTTCATGAAGGTGAAAGATTTTATGTATTAAAAAGTAGTAAATAGTTACTTGTAACTGGTGTGAAGCAGCAGCCAGCCTGAACATCTATCCCTGACTAAGGGTGAAAACAATGAATTACTTTTATAATTGTTTAGGCTGCTTTTAGCTTCTTAAAATCTTAAAATTACTAGACGATAGAACTTAAGGACTTATTACATTTTATTACTTGGTATAATGATAATGTCATGCTTTCTCCCTCCCCCCCCACCACACACACAAAGATAACCAATCAGGAGGCCAGGGAGCTTAAATTGTATGCTAATGAGACATGCTACGTGAACCAATTAGGGAACTGACATTGGAGTAACCGGTTTTGCATAGATGTGTGCAGTGTGCTCAATCAGATCCCTTCAGCAGACTCAACAACATCTGAAGATTTCATTGTATGCTTCCCCATCTCCCATCGCCCCCTTCCTTAGGGCTCCTAGAGAGTTTTATCATGTTTTTTCTTTCCTTTCTGGGGCCCCTGGATTCCCTATCAATATCATTCAACAGAAACCAACACCAGAGTTCCTAGATGAAAAAGAGGGCTGAATCTAAAGCTTTCAAAGCTAGCGCTCTTCTAATGGGAAGTTGGAAGTGTGACTATTAGTTATAACTTATAACTCATTGACTTCTGCCTGTGAACATTAAATAACAGGGATTCTCCAAGATAATAAATGTATTCAGAAATGGACATTGCAATGGGAATATGTGTGTGTGCTTAAATAAATTGAGTAACTATAAAAATCATACCTATAAAATAATAGCAGTAAGGAGAAATACAAGAACTCAGGCAAGGTATGATAAAGAAGAAAACGAAAAGTAGATGAAAGCCCAAGAAAATGCAAAAGACAAAAAGTAAAACTTTCACAGAAATGAAGAAGCACAAAGGAGAAGAGACAAATATTATGATGAAAAACATTAAAGATATGGGAAACAGGATAGAAAAATCAAGTAGTATGAAATAGAGTAAAGAATTTACTGAAAGTAAAATTAGAGGAAAAAATGATACAAGAGACATACAATTGATTTATTCGATGAAAAAAAAAGAACCAAAATAATCTAACATAAAAAGGATACCCAAAGTTATAGTTTTATACATGTTGCAGAAAGAAAGGTCACTTTAAAAACAAAAGAAGGAAAACTATCTGGCCATACTTCTACCACTCCTTCCAAATCCAGTTGTACTAGAAGCACATTTTTACTCTTCTTTTTTCAACTCATCAAAGCTTTTTCTGTATTATCTTGGTTCATAGTAAGAGAAAAGCTAAAATCTGATCTTGGAAAAAGTTATTACCTTTAATAGTAACTATATATAATAACAGCATGCAGATCAATAAAGTATATAGGAATTTAAACGCAATTCAAAATTCACCATTTTATCTTTCTTATCCAGTTTTCTTGTAGGTGAGCCAGTCCAATGAAGAACTGGGAGATTCCATAGGACAAGCATCGTGTTTGATTTGCTGTATTTCAAGACAGTGGAGAGTAGTCTATTTGCTTAAAATGAGGGAGCAACCATTTGTTAAAATTAAATTGTTTTCCACCTTAAATTACCTTTGCTTTTTTTTTTAAAAAAAATTATTTATTTGACAGAATTACAGAGGGAGCCAGAGAGGGATTCCATCCTCTCTTCCCAAATGCCCACAACAGCAGGCAGAACTGGGCCAGAGCTGAAGCTGGAAACTGGGAACTCCATCTAGGTCTCCCAAGTTGGTGCCAGCTACCCAACTTTTTGAGCCATCACCACTGCCTCCAAGAGTGCACAGCAGCAGGAAACTGGAATCAGGAGCCACTGTCAAATTAAAAATTCTTCCAATGTAGGATGTGTGTGTCTTAAGCTGCATGTAAATCACTAGGCCAAATGCCCACCCCTGCGTTCTTTTTCTCCCTCAAAGGATACTATTGAAAAATGTAGCTAGCTTTATTATTGCTTTGGTTATAAAAGTAATACAAACTTTATTACAAAAAGCCGTCATAAAATACAGAAAGAAGCAAAAAATACCCATAAACCCATCACCCAGAAATAAGCACTGTTAACATTTTGGTGTATTTCCTTTCAAACTTGTTTCTGTTTTAATAAATGTTATGAAATAAGAAGACTCTTTGGTCAATTGAGTTTGGGAAATGCCAGATTCAACATATTTAAATACATGTCTTTCTTCCAGAACTTCTAAGGACCTTTTAACAGGCTAAATATGAGGGAATATAATATGCAAAATTTCTCATACTGATATTTTGTAGTGGGTGTGACGTAAGTCACTTAACCACCTCCTCGTACAATCATTATTTAAAGTGTGTATATTCATTATTATCAATCTAACACAAGTAATATTTTTAAAGTATTTATTTTATTTATTTGAAAGAGTTACAGAGAGAGGTAGAGACAGAGAGAAAGAGATCTTCCATCCGCTGGTTCACTGCCCAAATGACCACAACAGAGGGAGTTGAGCTGATCTGAAGCCGGGAGCCAGGAGCTTCTTCCAGATATCCCATGTGGGTACAGGGGCCAACGACTTGAGCCATCCTCTGCTGCTTTCCCAGGAGCATAAGCAGGGAGCTGGATTAGAAGCGGAGCAGCCAGGACTCAAATTGGTGCCCCTATGGGATGCCAGCATTGCAGGCCAGAACTTTAACCTGCTGTACCACAGTGCCAGCCCTACAAGTAATAGTTTTAAAAATCATTAATTTGCTTTTCCTTTTTGCTGTTCTGAGTTTAAAATCATTCAATCCATAGACACAGTGAGCCAGATGCTACTCCCCACTCTTCCCAGGGCTGACAGGGGAGCCAGTGCAATGTCTAGATGAGAGCAGAGATGTGTTTTCTTTTGGAAGGGTCATCTTAGCTGCCAAGTTGACAATATGGGGGAGCCAGGACAGACACACGGAGTCCAAGATGAGGTGACAACAAAACCGTAGGATGTGTCTGACTCTGGAACTATTGGTAAGGGAGAGCAGATGGGATTCCATTACGGATTGGAAGTTGCCAGTTTCCTCCTTCAGTTATATGAATATTTGCTTTATATATGTAGGTGTTGCAATGTTGGATGCATTTATACAATTGTTAGGTCTTCTAGATGACTTGATCCCTTTATCATTATTCTCATGTAATAACCTTCTTGTCCCTTGTGGCAGAGTTTAACTTAATATAAATTAGGCACCCTGCTCTGTTATGGTCCAATTTGCACGGAAAATGGTGATGTATGTGTTAAGTATCTTTATTGTGGTGATCATTTCACAATACATATGTATATTAATCATCACAATGTACATCTTAAACAGATACAATTTTACTTACCAATTACACCTTAGTAAAACTGGAGTTGGGGCCGGCATTGTGGCGTAGTGGACAAAGCCTTCTGCAATGGAAGTATTCCCATATGGGTACCAGTTCATGTTCTGGCTGCTCAACTTCCTATCCAGCTCCCTACTAATGAGCCTGGGAAAGCAGCAGAAGATGGTTCAAGTCCTTGGGCCCCTGCCACCCATGTGGGAGACCTGGAAGAAGCTCCTGACCCCTGGGTTCGGTGTGGCCCAGCCCTGGCCATTGTGGCCATCTGGGGAGTGAACCAGTAGATGGAAGATTCTCTCTCTCCCTCTCTCCCTCTCTCTCTCTCTCCTCCTCCTCTCTCCCTCTCTCCCTCTCTCTCCCCCCCTCTCTCCCCCCCCCTTTCTCCCTCTCCTTCTCCCCTCTCTGTAACACTCTCAAATAAATAAATAAATCTTTAAAAAAATCAAGAAAAGAAAAAACTATGAGTGGTCTCCTAGGCTGGGAGCTACATGGAAGACCCAACAGAAGCTTAAGGTACCATTGCCAGTTGGGAGCTCCTGCAAGTGTTAAGAAAACCAAAAGGATGACAGGCTGCATCAGTGATCACCAGAGGATAAGACAGGGGAACAGTAGATATCCCCATGGACACCAGTAGATGCTATCTCATAATTTCCAACTGAGATGAGGGGGCCTATTTCCTCTCATGGCATAATACAAGTCAGGAGCAGACTTGTTCTTAACCAAGGCTACTTGCACTGACTGTTTAGCAATGAGAATGATATTTACTTACATTCTTTTCTACTGACCAGCAGATGGGATCTTTGGAGACAAGTCAGTAAGTAATAATAAAACAAAAGACGTAAAAAAATGTGCATTTTCTGCGAGCATTTGTGCTTGAGAGTTAACTGCATTTTGATGGAACCCTGCTATTCAAACTGCAACTAGTGACTATCTTAACACAAAGGTTTATAGTCTTTAACACTCTTGTGCAAGTTATTACTTAATATAAACTGCTGAATGTGGAATGGTTGGATTAAAATCTAAGATCATAATAAGGTTTTTTTTTTTTTAAGAATTATCTATTTGGAAGACAGAGGGACAGACACAGATGATCAGGGTGGGAGAGAGAGAGAGATAAAGAAATTGATTGTATTCTCTGATTTACTCTCCAGATTGCCACAATGGCCAGGGTTGGGCCAGGTCGAAGCCAAGAGCCAGGAGAGGCTCTGATTTCCCACGTCGATAGCAGGGACAGAAACACTTGGCCCATGTTTCACTGCTTTCCCAGGCCATGAGCTAGATCGGAAGTGGAACAGCTGGGACACGAACAGATGCCCATTGCAAGCAGAGACTACCTGGTGTGTCATGACTCTGGCCTCCATTTTAAGGTTTTTGATGTTTCATATAATACTTATACCATTTTGCACTCCAGAATCATAGCTCTTCTTCCTCTGCTCTTAACACTGTGCTATTTCCTCAGCTTAAAAAAATTAATTCCTTAATTTGAGAGGCAGAGAAACAGATAGGGAGCGCCTATCTGGTAGTTCACTCGTCAAATGCCTGCAACACCCAGGACTGAGATAGGCCAAAATCATGGACCGGGGTCTCTATCCAGATCTCCCACATGGGTGGCAGGGACCCAAGTACTTGAGCCATCCTTCGCTGCCTTCCCAAGGTGCATTAGCAGGGATCTGGAATCATGAGTGGATCTGGGACTTGAAGGGAAGCATTTGAAAGTGGGACACAGGTGTCCCACATGGCACCATAATCACTGAGCCAAACATCTGTCTCTTTAGTTTTTTTTTTTAAAGATTTATTTATTTTACTTGAAGGTCAGAGTTACACAGAGAGAGAAGGAGAGGCAAAGAGAGAGAGAGAGAGAGAGAGAGAGAGAAAGGTCTTCCAACCCATGGTTCACTCCCCAATTGGCCACAATGGCCGGAGCTGATCCGATCCGAATCCAGGAGCCAGGAGCTTCTTCTGGGTCTCCCACTCAGGTGCAGAGGCTCAAGGACTTGGGCCATCTTCCACTGCTTTCCTAGGCCATAAAAGAGAGCTGGATTGCAAGTGGAGCAGCCAGATCTCGAACCGGCGCCCATATGGGATGGTGGCACTGCAGGCAGCAGCTTTACCCGCTACACCACAGCGCCGGATCCCTTTTCTTTAGTTTCTAAAATAATGTTTTGGAGTAGGGGCTGGGGTTGTGAGATGAATCAGCGCTGCACAAGCCATTGGGCCTGGCTTGGAGAAAGCATGGCTACTGTTGCCTTTGCCACTGCTTGGGAACAGAAGAGATTGGGCTCTGTCCATGACACCTCCTGCATGTGTCATGGTGTTATCATGAATGAGGTGAATACATCAAGAAGCACAGTGAATACATCAAGACTTGGAGGCCTTGGTACTTCCTACTGTAAAGCAATGGCTCCTTCATTGGGTCTAAGGAGATGCCCAAGACCCAAGCAGACCTTACCCACATTACCTCGTAGCTGATGAAGACTGAGAGGCCACAGCCAAAACCTTTGTCTTCTGCTGCCTGCAATGGACCATGGTCACTGAGAAGACCTTCCACGTGGATTCCCCAGGTGAGAGGGAGGAGTGATGTGGGTTATCCAGATGGTCACCAACAGCCTCAAGCCATGAGGCCCTGTAAAAGACCTCACCCAACTACTCCACTGCCCCTGAGGAAAAGAAAATGGTGGTCTGTCAGGCTCACGCCAAGGTGACCATGAACGACTTTGACTATTTCAAACTGCTGGGCTAGGGCACCTTCAGCAAAGTCATCCTGGTGCGGGAGAAGGCCACCAGCCACTGCTTCACCATGAAGATCCTGAGGACAGAGGTCATCATCGCTAAGGATGAAGTCGCTGCCACAGTCACTGAGAGCCGGGTCCTCCAGAACACCAGGCACCTGTTCCTCACGGTGTGTCTTCACAGAGGCGCAGGCTCGGTTTTCCAGTGCACAGATTGTCTTGGCTCTCGAGTGCTTGCACTCACGGGAAGTGGTATACCACGACATCAAGCTGGAAAAACTCATGCTGTACAAAAATGACTGACTTCGGCCTGTGCACAGAGGGCATCAGCGACAGTGTCACCATGAAGGCCTTCTGTGGAACGCCTGAGTACCTGCTGCCTGAGGTGCTGGAGGACAACGACTACTGCCAGGCTTAGAAGCAAAACTCACCTCCTATAAGTACCGTGCGCTACCGATTGCGCCACTGGAGTGCCCAGAAGTCACCTCCTTAACTGGATGTCACCCTTCACTGTTCTGCTACT